AACTATAATTTCATTATTTGTTAATAAAGAAGGTGTCTCTATCAGAAAGAGCCGGAGAATTATCCTCTTGTTGCTATCTCTTATAAGAGAACATCGGAGGATCTGTAGTCAACCTAGAAGAGAAAACACGGTGGTGCAGCTATCAAGTCAAGATTTCAATCTTTGTTGTGTTATCATCCTTTACTTTTTCTTCAGAAATCAGGAGGTGGGACCTTCTTTGTCGTCATTTAACATCAGTAACTGATAATGGGCATTTCAGAAAATTCTTTTATGGCTCTTGTTTAGGAGATCATGCTGCATTTTGTTCCATTTTGCAATTATTTTGCACGAAAAATTCCTTTAGCAAGAACATTTTGCATTTGTTTCCATTTGCAGTTCAATAAAGGATCTCCAATGCAAGTCTACTTATCGCAATACATTTCAGATTTCGCCTTTTCTTTTGTTATTTTGTAGAACTATAGTTGTAGGCAAACTTGCAATCTGAATCAGCCTTTTGTAGTTTCTTTTAGACTATTTTGTGGAATAATTTAGTAAGAAATAGTAGTAAAAAGGTGTAGAAAACACTCTTTTCTAGAGAAGGATAAGGATTTTAAAACACTCATAGATATGAGTTAATCTGACATAGATTGTAACAAATGTTTGGACTTTGTGAATTATAAAAAAAATTAGTTAGCAACAATTAATACTAAATAAGGAAGAAAAATCGAACTTATTAACATTTCATTTGGAGGTGTGTTGCACTTTTTTAGTGATTTTAACATTCATTTAATCTTCATTATTCTCTAATAACGGCGAATCCTGATTTGAAGATTCCGTTTCAGAATGAACACCAATTTCCTCCTACTCTCTCTAGCATTAGGAATATACTTTGCTGCTGCGCACGATTGCCCTGAATCTCATTTTCTTGTTGATAATAGGTAAACAATTTCTATCTGTCAAATGCATTTGAATATTGCTAAAATATTTTAAAGATGCTTTGCATTTGTTCATGAAAGAGTCGAGTTTGAGGAAGCTAGAAAAGAATGTGCGAAAATGGGATACGATTTAGTGTCAATACACGACATGATCTCCAACCATTACGCCCAACGTAACTGTTACAATGTTCTATTAAACCGTTTTGCAGCATCTGAATATTTGTATTAAGAGCTTGCACATATTGCTCTCGGTTCTATGTATGGATCGTTTTGGATTGGACTTTTCAAAGAGAGAGAGACTTGGAAATGGGTCGACAGTACTCTAATCGATTACACAAACTGGGCTTGGGGTATCATATGATTGTTTTCAAATTCATCTCACTGAGAAAGATTCATCTTTTCTAGGTAATAATCCAGCGAAAAAGTGCGCTACTATGCGGATTTCAGATGGAAAATGGATTACAGCCGACTGTGAAACATCGTAAGTTATCCATATACCTCTCTCCACCTCGTCCCTCACCTCCTTCCCTCCTTAAACATGCAATAGTTTATATCTTATG